ATCTGCATACAATGAGATGTCATTGGTCAAGGCTTCTTTAGATTATTGAACATTATTAAAATTCTAAACTTAACAACCCGATGATGACTCTGACGACGACCACGACCACGATGATTATGCCGACGATTCTGGCAATTTGATGGAGAAGAGAGAGCATTGAGAATCTTGCTGATAGAGAGAGAAGGAAGAGAGAGAAAGAACATAGTTGACGTATTTCATGCCTCAATAGTAGGTATAAATAAATACCTATTTTGCTACAAAATAGAAAAGGTAGCTATAAGTAATAATATTTTGAAATTATTTTGGTTTATAATAAATAGGATGTAATAATTTGCCATAGGAGGTAAAATTTCCTAGCTTTTTAATTGCTAGGCCTAAGTGGCTACCCTAGCCAATTTAACCAAACTAACCTCAATCCAAGTCCAATTAAGAAAGGGATTTTTACCTTCCTATACACTATTTGGAACCTTATTACCCACCCTACTCAAGTTTCAATTTAATTACACGGTCATATATAATTTACCAATTATGTACAAATAATTTTTAAATGAATATTCCTTTATATTAGGAATTGAATAAGGAATATCAGGTATTTCCTTATCAATTTACACTTGCCTACTCTCTCTCCGTCTCTCTCTCTCTCTCTCTCTCTCTCTCTCTCTCTCTCTCTCTCTTCATCTCTCTACTCTCCTTCTCTGTTTTTTTCTCCAATTTTTCATTTGACGTTCTTTGTTTTTATGCGTTCTTGTTGTATATAGTTTTAATGGAATTCATCAATGGATTTCAATTGTTTTAACTTAGCAATTTCCTTTCATGTTGCACAATTGATGTTCAAAATAAAATTCCAATCAATAAATTTTGTAGGTGTTTGCCTCCCCACCATTGATAGCCATTAAAAAGCTTTGAAGCTTTGAAATCGAATTTGGGTTTTCAAAAACCATTATTTGTTTGGATTGGATGTTGTTGCAAACAATTGGGAATATTGTTTGGAGTTTATATCTCAATTTTGAGGGTGTTTTGATGAGGATTAGACTTGATTTTCGCTGAATTTCAGATTGGAACTCGAAGACATGACATACAATATACTTACGAATTTGTAGTAAAATTGTATAATTTGAGAAACTAGTGATATTTTACATAACAGCACCTCTTGGCATTTAACTCTAATATTCACACAATTAAGCATCACAAAATTCTTCTTTAGCAAATGTCTTTCAATGAATAATATTTATCTGATTATGTTGTCAGCTTAACACAATTGATTTCCTTAAACATGCATTACTTTTATGTAACGCGGAGGAAATCAAAACTACATCATAAGCACCGAAAGCCTGCAGGTCTATCACGTAACCAACTTGAAAATATGGCTCCTTATTACTTAGACAAATGGCAATACTCAGTACAAGTACTGAGAATTGGGACAGAGACATTTTGAACTTATCGACATTTTTGACAATTATAGTCACAAGTTATTTGGTCAAATTACATAATCAAATTTTATGCTCAGTGAAATTATAGTCAATTGCGACTTGGAATGTAATATTGAATTAGTGACATTGCATTTGATTTTGTAAAATTGAATTACAGCTAACTATACAGTATACACTTATTTAAAACTAATCTACAACTTTTCTACAACTTATCTACAACTTTCATATATTATTTCTACCCAGTTAAATATAATTTTTATACAATATGTCTTATATATATTTTGTATCTGATTTGTATATATTTTGTGTGTGGCGTGTGCTTCTTCCTCTCTAAAATTCCAATCAAAACTTACTCTCTTAATACAATTTTGATACATATTCAACAACTTTATGTAAAAAGATAGTATTGATAACTTAAATACAAATTTTATACAACGATTCATACATTATACAATTATTTTTCAACTTTCATACAACATTCAAATAGAAAAATATATAACTACAACATAATCTAATTTACCTATAATTTTACTACAACTTCATAAATATATTATATGTCATGTCTTCTTCTTCTTCTTCTTCTTCTTCTTCTTCTTCTTCTTCTTCTTCTTCTTCGAGTTTCAATCTGAACTTCAGCCAAAATCAAGTCAAATGTTCATCAAAACACCCTCAAAATTGAGATGTAAACTCCAAACAATATTCCCAATTGTTTGTAATAACACCCAATCCAAACAAATAATAATTTTTGAAAATCCAAATTTGAGTTCAAAGCTTTATGATACATTAGTGTTCGAATTTTCAATTCCTACGACCTGGAGGTTACTTCAATAGGTTGATTGGCAGAAGACAACTTTTAGGCTTACCTTATTGAGGGAGAAAGATGAAGAAAGAAAGAAACATTGATGAAAGATGCGGCTGCGAGGAAAGAGAGATGAGAAAAAAAGAAAGTAATGTAACTAAATACCCTAATTTAAGGCACTAATAATGAATTCAGTGGATAATATACAAAACTAGGACAATTTTAATAGATAAGTTTCAAATACTAGTTTCTATGAACGTGCGTTGCACGTTAATAATGGCGCGTAAGGGTTTAGTCAATTATATATGTATATATACATAGCAATTGTTATAAAGCAATTTTTGTAAAGCAATTAACATGTAAAAATACAACAATCATTTATATCAAAAGTCAATGTTATTACATTAGTATAACACTTAAAATTAAAATTAATTGGACATTCTCTGAATCTGCATAAATGATCAATTTAGTTAAGCTAGATAATATTATTATGTACTTATAGATCACAAATCTTATGAAGTTATCGTTTAAAAATATGCAATGTGATCATATTTTACGTGAGACTTCTTTGTAGACAATATTTTTTTTGTGTGTGTATGTTCGCGTTTGACTCTTTGGCTGCTCTTTCATGATTAGAACCCTGGTCATCGATATTGATAACTCTTCTAAAAGTGCAACATATAATTGTTCGTGCGATAGAACATGCTTCAGCAAATACCGTCCAATAAAATTGTTTGACCTTGAGCTTATTTACTATCAGTTCAAAATACAAGTGTATTGAAAATTATTGTTGGACGAATTTAAGAAGATATTCTTTATTTTCTGGAGATGAAAGATAAATTCAGGGATAAACACATGCTTAGAAGCACCTTGATCCATCATAATTTTTGCATATATGATATTATAGTCAAACCTCTCCCTACCATCATTGTACCGTTACATAAGTCATTTGACAGTTTTAAATGTATGGGCATATTTTTCTTGTAAAAAGAAACTACCATGCATGACAATGGAAGATCCTTTGTTTGTTATTATACTTTCATGACACTAACACATATAAGATATGATGAACTTAATGTACCTATATGGTGAAAGGCCATTTACTGAGTATTTAAGTATTTTTTGTGGTAGTAATTACGTTGTTGGTATCATCTTCTAATGAGTTAAATTGAGTAATATTTTACTTTCATCAGAAAACTTGAAGATTAATATTTCTTGTAGTCGATCAACATATTAATTTCTGTTAGCTAAGATAAATTTTTCTATCATATACTTTACCCATTTTTTATTTTCCTTTTATGACGAAAATTATTTATTCATTAAGAGATCTTCACCACTACGATCACAATTGGGGTTGAAAACTAATTATTCTGGAATAATTAAGGATCAAATTATCTTTTATTGTATGCTCTTCTCCATCTCTGACTCAAAGTAAGAAATTAATAAATGTTGGTCTGTTCTTGCTCTCATATACTTTTTCATCAAACAGTTCATCAATATCTATTATATCTCTAAACTTCATGTCAATTGTTTCGATCTTCTGACGCTTCATGCCATATTATTGTATTTGCTTTCCTTATCGATTTAATACCACCAATCTGTTTAATATATTTAGGATGGTTGTTTCAGTTGTTTGAAGAGGTATGTCGAATTTACAGTAGGTCGTAGGACCCCTGGTAAAATTATTATTGTTAGTGCTATCATGCCTCATGATCTAACATTTGCAAATAATGCACGATATAGGAATATTTTTTAGATCCTTTGGGGTTATCTACAAAGAATAATACCCCTCTATAATAATTAACTCTTTGTAATATAATCTTGAATGCTTGTTTTATTCAGGATTTAGCTTTGATTGTGCATTGAAATGTTCCTAAGGCAAGTGTTGGCCTTTTCTTCAATAATTTCTCAGTATTTTGATGCAACATTATCATCTCGGTCCTGACTAAGTTTAGGTAAATCATATCTTTTAGCACTCTTATCCATGTTCTCTAAAAATAATTAATGCTCTTTAGAGTGCATTATAATTGAGTATGTGATGAGCTATCATGTATCCTTCTGAAGTTATCTGACATATCATCATAATTAGCATCATACAATTTGCTAATGTCGATTGAATTACAATGCAATCAAATCTCAGAGTGCTGATGGCATTTTGAAGAAAACTGTGTCACATAAGCAATGAGAAATAATGTTATTTGATTCTAATTATGCACTTTCTTTTGCAACTTTCTTAAATGTCTTACACGGTCTTCCATTAATAGGAGTAAGTTTTAAATGAATGTGGTCCCCTGACATAATTTGATAATAATTTCAACTTCTCAAGTAGTACCTTTCACCCTCTTTAGTGTTTGCTGTATTTTTCAAGAAAAGAAAATAAATAAATAAAATTGACAAAAGATATTTAAAAAAAACTTGTGTGTAAACATGAAATTTCTTACCCGTAGCAATCCAACCAATTATAATTCTCTTTTATGTTTGGCCTTGTCTTCGGCCGTGGATTTCCAAACTAAAGAGGATAATCACTTGAAGTGGTGATGTAACTCTTCATTGACCGTATCCTACCAGAATCCTAACGCTTATTATTTCTAATTATATCCTTTTCTTGTGAATTCTAGCATTCAATATTATAAGGCTATTTTCGTAAACCGACATTGTATTCATGCTTTTATAATAATATAGATAGATAGATAGATATAGATATAGATAGATATAGATATAGATATAGATATGGATAGATAGATTGTATAGCAAGGTAAAAATAACACTAATAAATGACCAGCATACGTGGCACTATATCCAAATCACAGCCTCGTCGATTTTCTGAATCAGAAATCAGCAAAAGGTACCGTATCATCCTCTATACTCTCTCATCTGCGCCATAGATAAATCACGTTCCAGTTTTCGAATCTAGAATTTACCTTCAGTGAATTTAAAGATAATGCTAAATCTAATTAATCAATAAATCAACATGTCTTAATCCAAAATTAAGTTGAGCCTTAGCTGTATGAATTACATATATTCAATTCGCTTATTCGAACTAATTTGTGATTTATTAGGTATATATCTATTTATACTTTAAGCTTATATATATACCTATAGATATGGTTGAAGTTTAATGCAGTAGGATTTGGGACTGCACTGTGCCCTAGCTAATTAGATTGCTTTTGATCGGTGTTTGATTTGGGATTTTTAATTTTCTTATAATGGAGAAATTTCAGGGCCAATGATGCATGGTTTAAAATTCGGTGGTGGATGATGGGCCTGCCCGTGTACCCTTCTCCACTTAAATACCATGCTTTTGTTTGCTACAGAGTTGATTTGGGATTTTTAATTGAAAACAGTTTTCACAGGGACAAGAAAAGGATGGGATTCATAATGGAATTTGCAGAGAACTTGATATTGAGATTAATGGAGGATCCAGTGGAGAGGGATAGGAAGTTTAGGGAGCACGTGTATGCCACGAAGGAGAGGACCAAGAAGACATTGGAGATGTGGAGCTATCCAATGCGTCCCTATGGTTTCTGGACATTTGATAGGCACAACGCTCAGTTATTTTGGGACCCTCAAATCAGCCAAGTGCCCGGCCGTCGTGATCCCTATGATGACCTCCTTCAGGACGGTTCTTCCTCCTCCTCCACCTAAGCTGCCTCCTTCGTCAACTGACTTTGGTGAGCTTTTGATTTGTTACTTGTTGCAGCTTTTTTGTTATGGTATCCTGGTTTTGGGAATACGTTTAAATACAGAACTTCATGATTGAGCAATTTTAATTGATATTTGAACAGTTTTTTGGCACATTTGTGTGAAGGTTATGCTAATATGATATATATATATATATATATATATATATATATATATATATANTATATATATATACGCACACACAATACACATTATATTTAAAAAGTTCAGAAATTTCTCACTTTAATATGTAAAGGGAAACGGAGAAGAAGATGTGCGCATGAAATTCTAGAGGAAATTAGGAACTGTGGTCTGCTATAAAATTATAGGAGGAAAATAGAAGGTTTGTTGAGATGCACGAAGATAATAAAGGGAAACGGGAAAAAGATGCAATAACGAACAAAGTATGCATTGACTGGTGGATTGTTTAAAATTTTATGCTATATTAAATATCTTGAGAAAATCAACAATATAAATATTATACGGGCTTTGAGATAGAAAGATAAGTAATATAGTCGGTTTAGCCTTCTTGAGCCACATTACCTCTGACTCTACGAGGACTTGTCCTCTTGAGCGGGAGGCATTGGAGGAAGGACTGACGAACTTCTTACTTGTGTTTGGTTAACTACTTTACTGAACTCTCAAGTAAGCTAAGCTGACCTATATTAGTTTTCTATCTCAAACTCGTTTGAGTAAATTGTCTTTCTTCAAAAATTTTAATAGAATATAAATTATCCTTTTTAGCATCTTACCTAAGACAAACTGTGTTCCTCATTGTATCATTTTCCCAACTTTTAGCTGCCATCTTCTGGCAGGATGAGACTAGCTCGAGTAAATAAATGTCCAGTAATATCCAATGGCCCATTTGAATCTCGCTAGTTCTCCAGGGAATACTTAATGGCTTGGATGTACTCTAAGCTTTGGGGTAGTCCAAGATAAAGGTACAAGAAGCTTAATCTTGTTGAGTCTTCTGCCCAATAATACACAATAATGCATTCTTATAAAATTCACAGTTTAAATAAGTAATATGTCAGATACATACCATCTTTAAGAATTCTTGACGTCTTTAACTAATTAAACGTAACACAATAACTAACTTATTTGTTTTCAAATTAGCACTATCTTGTAAGAAAAAGTATCATCTAATTTGAATGGATGAGTAGCGCTTCTATTCATGCTTGGGCAAATTCAATAAATTTTTTTATGAAGTAAGGGTGTTTCATTAATTGCATCAAGCAGATGCAACAACAACAACCCAGTGGAATCCCACAAGTGGGGTCTGGGGAGGGTAGTGTGTACGCAGACCTTACTCCTACTCCAGAGGAGTAGAGAGGTTGTTTCTGATATACCCTCGGCTCAAGAAGATGAAAAGAGACAGTGGAGCATTAATAGCAAAGAAGCAAGAAAGATAACACCAGCCTTGTAATAACCAAAAAATAGAGAGAAAAGCAATAACAATAAGCAGTAATAATGGTACAATACTACAGACACAATGGAGTAATATGGATACAACAAGACCCATTAGCATCCTTAGACAATACACTATTAGACTAGCCTCCTACGACCTAACCTGCCACCCTAAAGAAGTAATATGGACACAACTGAAGCCACTAGAAGCCTAAGACAAAACATAGGCTAGCCTTCTACCTTCTAACCTACAACCTTAATGCTCAACCTCCACAACTTCCTATCAAGGGCCATGTCCTCGGAAATCTGAAGCCGCACCAGGTCCTGCATGATCACCTCTCCCCAATATTTCTTTGGCCGCCCTCTACCTTTTCTCATGCCCGTCAAGGCCAGCCGTTCACATCTCTTTACCGGGGCATCCATGCTTCTCCTTCGCACGTGCCGGAACCATCTAAGCCTAACTTCCCGCATCTTGTCTTCCATGGGAGCCACACCCACCTTCACCCGAATGTCTTCATTCCTAATTTTATCTAGCCTAATGTGTCCGCACATCCATTTCAACATCCTTATTTCTGCAACTTTATCTTCTGGATATGAGAATTCTTGACTGGCCAGTACTCTGCACCATATATCATGGCCGGTCTAATCATCGCTCAGTAGAACATACTTTAAGTTTCGGAGGCACCTTCCTGTCAAACAAAACACCAGACGCTAGCCTCCATTTCATCCACCTCACCCCTATACGGTGCGTAACATCCTCGTCAATCTCCCCATCCTCCCTGGATAACCGAACCTTAGGTACTCGAAGCTCCCTTTCTTGGGGATGACTTGAGAGTCAAGCCTCACGTCCATGTCCGCTTCTCCTGATATGCCGCCGCTGAACTTGCTCTCCACGTATTCTGTCTTAGTCCTTCTCAACTTGAAACCTTTAGACTCAAGGGTATGTCTCCAAACCTCTAACCTCTCGTTAACACCGCCTCGCGTCTCATCGATCGTATCAATATCATAAGTGAATAGCATACACCATGGCATCTCCGCTTGAATATGGTGTGTCAGTGCATCCATCGCCAGGGCAAATAAGAACGAGTAGAGCGCAAATCCTTGGTGTAAACCCATAACCCACAATTGAAAAATGCCCCGAGTTGCCCTCCACTATCCTAACCCGAGTCTTAGCTCCATCATACATGTCCTTAATCACCCTAATATAAGCAACCGGAACACCTTTCATCTCCAGGTATCTCCAAAGAACTTTCCTAGGGACCTTGTCATATGTTTTTTCTAGGTCAATAAACTCCATGTGCAAATCACTCTTCCTATCCCTGTACAGTTCAACCAACCTCCTTATAAGATGGATAGTTTTCGTAGTAGAACGACCAGGCATGAACCCAAACTGATTATCGGATTTTGACACCGACCTCCTCACCCTCGCTTCCACTACCCCTCTCCCAAACTTTCATGGTATGACTTAGTAACTTGATACCCCTATAGTTGTTACAATTCTGGATATCGCATTTGTTCTTGTACAACGGTATCATCGTACTCCACCTCCATTCTTCTGGTATCTTTTTTGTCCTGAAATTAATATTAAACAGCCCAGTTAGCCACTCCAATCCTGCTCTACCGGAATTTCGTCGGGCCCAGTCGCTCTGCCCCTGCGCATCTTACGCATAACCCCCACAACCTCCTCGACCTTAATGCGCCTACAATAGCTAAAATCTCGAAGTGTTCCAATTCCCCTAGCACAATATCTATGTCCCCTTTACAGATGCATAAGCAAAAATTACAAAAAGAAGATTAAGTCTGCTCATGTACAAAAGATTAGCCTATAACTAGATAGCTGACACAATCCAAAAAAATGTTAAATACTAGTTATAAGGCCTGATATTACTAATTAAACAATCAAGTAAGCATTTGGCTTTTAGAAAGTGACTTGGAGCTAAGTTGCTCCGACATGGCAGTTTAGGTATTGCACCCTTGTTCTCACGACACTAGTATGGGTGTGGGTATAGGATCCGTACCAGATCCGGTCAAATAATTTATGGTACTTTAACCATGGCAGACGGAAAAATTCGAGATGAGATACAATTTGATTCTCGAAATCAGAACCAAAACTTGGGTGAATTTGAAGAAAATAGCATACCTTATCTAGGGAGTCAATCCTTTACTTATCTACAACTTGAGAATAAAAAAGAAATTCACACTTCACAAGCTATATGTAAGTATTTCACAAACTTTCTCATAATTAAGAGATATTTTTATATTTTTAATAATTTTTATCCGGATCCCCGCACCCGTATCTGTACTAGGAACCATATCCCCGAATAATAGAATTTACATCTCGAATGATCCGACCTCTAGATCCGCATCCCTGTCGGACACCTGCAACTTGTCCGAGCAACTTAGACACTGGAGTTGAGATTCTATCACAGCACTTACGGTTCCTTTCTGTCCAAATGCACCAAAAAGTACCAGCAGGCACTATTAACTAGATTTTCTTGATGGCTTTATCTACTCTCCTTGAACACTCTGTCATAGGCATCCTTTATACTGTTAGGCATGACTCAAGCTAGTCCAAAATTTGAGAAAAACACGCTCCAAAGATCTGTTGCAATTGTATAGTGGAGGAGCAGTTGTTTGACACTTTCAGAATTAGGTTGACACATATGGCACCTATTCACGGTCTTGTCTGGATACTTCTCCTGCTAAGATTGTCCTGTGGTAGGCATGCTTCATAAAAAGCTGTCCAACTGAAGCATATCCCCTTTTTTAGCAGTTTAGTCCTCCAGATGAGCTTTCATGGCCATATGTCAATCATCTATTTGTTTGAGCAGAAATGTGTATACCATTTTTTGATAAGAGTATGTCCCCTCCCTTGAGCATCACCATATCAGTCTGTCCCTTTCCTGTGAGTTGACTTACATCTCTCCAGTTTGGCTATTTAGTCCAATAAAGCATTCAGCCCCCAGTCCAGAATGTTTCTTCTTAGATGCAAATTTTATGTGTTATTCTCTCTGTTCTGAGCATAGTACAGTCTGGATCACTTGCTAATAGAAAAAGGCTTGGATATTCATCTTTCAGTGTGAGACTGCCCATCCACTAGTCCTTGCTAAATGATATGTGCGCTCCATTCCCTACCTTGAAGCAAGGCATATCAATTATTATTATAACACACACCAATAGACATGCAGAATGAGAAAAATCACATTATTTTGATCTGGAGATGATTAATCAGTTCATCTTGATTTCCCCTCATTCCTTAGTTTCCTCAAACCCAAAAAAGAAAAACAAAAACGAATTGAGGTAATGCTGCACATCCACAAACCGATAAGACCATATAGACACAGAAGGGGAAAACAAATTATGTTCATATCCACAAACCAATACGACCATGGTCTTAAAGTCTTAGCACACTTTATGTTCTTGAAATTAAGTAAACAACATTCGATGACAAACAAAATTGACATAAATCAAATCAAAATGCATTAATGTCCTGAAACTTTTGTGCTCCTTGATTTCGGGGAAGGTTTGACTGCAAAAAGCAAATTTTCTCTATACAACAGTGGTTAAATTTTGCATATGTAGA